TGTCTCTCTACAGTCAGAGGCTTTTCTATGACAATTCAATCAGTTGGTATCGCTGTGGTGGAGGAACCAGACTGGATGCTGAAAGTAGGTTTCTGAATATTTAATGTTCATCATAACATAAATGATAGCAGAAATCTGACTGATGGTACATATTGAAAGTTAGCATTTATTTTGAATAGTTGTTTCTTTCTAAACTTAAAGAGATTCAGAATTCAAAAGAAAAGGCTTTTATGACTTCCTTTTAGTTAACAATAAAAATCTGTGAGGCAGACATGTGAAATACTACCAAAAAAAGACAGAATTATTTTCTGAGAAAGTGACTGTTAAATTCTACTTTTTGTTTTTTTAACTTTGGACAATGTTTTAAAAAAAAACACCTTAGCTAATCAATAATGTTCTGAAATAACCAAAATGGTTGTCACATTTTAATATATCTGTGAAAGATTATTAGTTTAACAGTAAAAAATGATGTGAATGATGGTTAGTGTTATCGACTTATTGCAAGAGTGTAAAATAAGTTAGAGATGACATGAAATATAAAATTATATCTTATATTTAGTTATCCTAATTATGGACGGATTTGAGATACATCTCAGGTTATAGTTCAGTTTGAATTACTCTTATTCTTTTTTAGGTCACATCATGGCTCTGTGTGATGATATTTATCAAAGGTTCCTTTAATGTAAGTGAAACAATGTGTAAGGGAGGGACTGATGGAGTGGGAAAAAAGTTTAACTGAAAAATAAATTATAAAAGTTATATTTTCTTTCTGATTAAAGATGTCCCTGTACATACTTCTAATTAACAGCTGTCTGGTTCCTGTTCTCTAACCTGATTGGTGTCTCCTAGGTGATGCCACTCCAACACTGATAGTGATGCCACCCTCCAGTGAGGAGCTGCAGCAAGAAATTAGCTGAAATTTAGAAATATCTGGGGGTTTTTCTATGTCTTTAATCAAGCTTTTATCCAATCGGGTTCATAAATTTAGTGTGAAATGTAGAAAAATTTAGAAAAAATTGTTTCATATCTGGGGAAACTGGTCGTGTTTCAGTTCAGCTGATGAGTCGGATCAGTTCCTCTGCATCTGAGGGAGGTTTTTGTACAACGTTCTATCACTGTGTGAACGGGGTGCTCCAACCCTGCTGACAGTAATAAACTCCTGCATCTTCAGCCTGAAATCCTCTGATGGTCAGAGTGAAGTCAGAACCAGAACCCCTTCCACTAAAACGATCTGGAACTCCAGACTGACGAGTTGTAGCTTCATATATCAGGAGTTTAAGAGCTTCTGCAGGTTTCTGAAGGTACCAATGGAGGTAATCAGAAACACCAAAACTGGTTTTACATTTGATGTAGACAGTCTGACCCTGAACAACAGACTGAGATCCAGGAGTCTGAGTCAGGAT